GGTCTGGTCTGATGAGCAATGTCTAATAAAAATGATTGCAATGGATAATCAATTTACATGCAAATGCTATAAATAACAAAATACTTTTCTTCATCATAGACAATCAGAAAACCACCAACCTTAAAGATCCATACAGAGATCATACATCTCTTAAGCATATTATTCAGGATAAATATATATGTGATTTTAAAATATTTGCAGAGAGCTAAAGGTTATACCATCAATTGCTCCTACATATTCTATATGTTCTCATTGCAAACAAATCAGACAGATTATAATAACTTATCAATGTGTTATCAGTGGCATTACACTATTTACTTAAGTATGCAACTTCTTATTTCTAAGAACACAGCCAATATCTAGGCAGGATTAAAGACATACCGTTGCTTTATAGTGTTCAGATGCCAAGAATAATGATAAGCTCAACCGAAAGCCCTTACAGAAAAATAGAGAGCAGATACAGCATTGGTTTCTGTTCAGAAATCCTAATTATTAGAAGATAAGAAAGAATTCCAGTAACAACAGGACATTAGTTTTAAAATATTGTACTCAACAAAGATAGTATTCACACATGAGAGTAAACATTTTCAAGCTGGCAAAGATTCAAAAACTATCTTCTTTCCAGGAGAAATTCCCCAAGAGGACATAACAGTAATAACTCATAATGATATGTGAGCCATGTCCCAAAAGACACATAAATGGAATACTGTCCACAGATATTTTAATCCTAAGGAAAAAACTATAAGCACTCCAAAAGTCCTTAAATAATAAAATGAAAGAATAAAATGTGGTACATTTACACAGCAGTTAAAGAGTGAACTACTGATACAGTAACTAGCATAAACTTAAAAACATTGTTGAGTGAAAAAGCCAGCTGCAAGAAAAGGAAAAACTAATGGGGGATAATCAACAATGGTTACCTTTATACTGTTCAGGAAATAATACAGGATTTCGGAAGTTGTACAGTTGCAACCTATGTAATGGACACATATGTATTTCTATATTTAAACCCATTGAGGAGGGTTGGAAGGATAATTTAGAAGATAACAGCACTTGCTGCTCTTGCAGATGGACCTGAGTTCATTTCCAACACCCATGCTTGATGGAGTTACAACTCCCTGTAACTCTAGTTCCAGGGGACCTGACAACTTCTTCTGGTTTCCATGGGCCTCCAAGTATACATGGTACACACACACACACACACACATACACATAAGTAAAAACAGATTTTCAGAAAAATCCACTGAAGTTGGATGTTATGGTACAGGCTTCAAATGTCAGCATAAGGGAGATCAGGAGAATCGGAAGTTCATGGTCATCTGAGCTACACAGTAACATGAAATCAACCTAGGCTACATGAAACATTGTCTCAAAAACTTAATTTCATTGAGCTGTAAAGATGAAGACTTTATATCTGTCACTATATTATATCATATATCATGCTATCATACATATGTATGTACGTATCATATATCAAAAAAATGCATGTTTTTTTTATTTTATGTGTATGGGTGTTTTGCCTGCACGTATGTCTGTGTAGCACGTGCGTGCCTGGTGCCCCTAGAAGCCAGAAGAGAGTGTCACATGATCTGCGTCTAGACTTACAAATAGTTGTGAGTCACCACGTGGGGGCTGGGAATGGAACCCAGGTCCTCTAGAAGAGCAGCCATCACTCTTAACCATTGAGCCCTCTCTCAAGCCCATATATCAGCTCAAAACCTGGTACTTTGTATGTTTTTTGTTTGTTTGGTTTTTTTTTTTGTTTTGTTTTGTTTTTTTTTTTTTGAGACAGGGTTTCTCTGTATAGCCTTCGCTGTCCTTGGCTATCTAGCCTGGCCTCAAACTCACAGAGATCCACCTGCCTCTGCCTCCCAAATGTTGAGATTAAAGACATGCACCACTACCACCTGGCTTAAAAACTGTTTATTATTTTGAGGTGAGAGCTTACTATGTATCACAGGCTAGCCTAAAACTCCATATGAAGCTCAATTTGATTTTGAATTTACCACCCTTCTACCTCAGGATCCCAGTGTTAGTATTACCAGAGTGCACTGCCATGCCAAGTCATTTTAAAACCAGATATCAGGGCTGAAGAGATGGCTGTAACACAAATCTTAAAAATACAATATATCACCACAGATGGCTGAACAATTAAAAGCATTTACTGCTCTATCAGAGAGCTGAAGTGCAGATCCCACCATCCACATTGGGCTGTTCACAAATTCCTGCTCCGTGGAATCTAACATCTGCTTCTGGCCTCCAAGGGCACCTGCACACACATTTCCACATATACACAGAAACACATACACATAAAATAAATCTTTAGGGGCTGGAGAGATTGCTCGGTGTTTACCAGTGCATACTGTTCTTGCAAAGGACCTGAGTTCACTTCCCAGCACCCAAGGAAGCTTTACAACTACATTACCTCCAGTTCCAGGCAATATGATGTCTCTGGACTCTGCAGGCACCTGTACTCCTATGCACATTCACACACACACACACACACACACACACACACACACAAATTTAAATAACAAAATACTTCAAACTAAATGCCAATTAATGAAACACAGAGATTTGTGCTTCAATTTGAAACAACCCCGAACCAAAATCAAACACAAAAATGGATCTGCCACTATTGTTCTATGAGTAAGATTCTGTAACTCTTAATAGCTAGTCCACCTCAGACTAACACCATTAGGGAATTTTTCATTTGTATGCTTGGAGAGTTAGATCACCAATACAGCTATAACTTCAGTATGATCTAGCAGTTCAGCAATCACTCCAAACACTCAATTTCCATCTTTCCCTTAGACTGTCTTCATATTGGTTATTCTTTTTTGTTAATGTATATGGGTATTTTACCCACTTACATGCCTGGCTGTCCACAAAGACCAAAAGACATTGTCTGATCCCCTGGCACTGGAGTTACAAATAAGTGTGAGCCACAGTGTGGGTGCTGGGAACTGAACCTGGTTCCACCAAAGAGCAGCAAGTACTCTTAACCACTGATATATCTCTCTAGCCTCATATATTGATTGTTCTTAAATTATCTCCCAATTACATCATAGCTGCCAGAAAAGACAGAATGTATTCCTTTTGCATTCCTATGGCCACTTTAACTCTACTAGTACAAACCTGGTATCTTAAAATAAGAGATAAATCTTAATAAAAATTTACTCTTATATTTTGGAAGCCATAAGTGTAAAATCAGTATTACTGATTGAAATCAAGGAGTTGGCAGGACTACATACCACACTGACGCTTCAGGAGAGAATAAATTCTATGCCTCTACTAGCTTCTGATGGTTGCTCTCATTTCGTGGTTTATGGGTACATAACTCCAACCTTTACCCCTGTGGTAACAACACTTTCTTTGTGTATGTGTGTATTCAAATCTCTCTGCTTGCCTCTTAAAAAGGCACATGGCTGCATGGGTAATCCAGGATAATCTTCCCATCACAATACATTTAATACATATGCAAAGTCTCTGGTCCTTCTTGAGGATAACAGTCACAGGTTACGGGGATCAGGGCCTGACATCTTTAGGCCATTTTCCAACCTAAAATATTTTCCAAATCTTGAATCAAAACTATGGGCTTCCCAGTTGGTGCTCACTCATTTAACCCAATTGCCATCAAGATACATCACAATGTCTGGACCTCAGGTAAGACAAGACTACATCAGTCAGAACAGAATACAAAGAGACTCTAGGAATAGAATACTAGCTAGTATAAGGAATACAATAGAGTTCTTTGTTGTTCTGGACTGTCAAGGAAGCTAAAAACACCCGATTACGGTCAGGACGAACTTCAGGTTCTCCTCTCCTGGATACGATCCAGTCTGCCACACGGAGCAAACTTAATCACAGGTCACTGACATTACCAGGACCCACATCCTCCCTATGCGTAGGGTACAATTAACAGTGCATCTCTTCAGACCCTGTGGGTCTTCAGACATTTACATTTAGTCTCCCTGGGATTGGGGAAAATTTTTGTTCTCCTCCTCATACTCCTATGATCCTTCATGTCCCGTCCTCTGCTGGGGAAAATTGGGAGTGGACATTTAGTGTAGCCCACCATATATTTCAAGTCCATCAAGTCTCCACACATCCCGGGAACCTTAAAGTTGCGAAACCATACATACGGCCTTGCCCAGTCTACAAATCTGGGCGCAAATGCTTGTCTTCTCATAGAAATTACGGTAGATTTTTAATTCCAGAGCCTGCTGACTATAGTCTATAGTTTAATTCCTTCTTCCTCTGTTTAAGAGAGTAAACCTTCAGCAAGATTGCATCCTTTTCTCCTCTCCCTCACGAAACTCTGTTGAGTCTTCTCCTACCTCCCGCCCACAACTACACACACACACCACACACACAGTGTATACAGCGTGTTCCGTCTGTCCACTACTTCCGGCGCTTCCCACTGTGCTACACGGCAAGCGTCCCTCAGCCGCCCTAACACCAGCACTTCCTGCCCACCCCTTGCCCGTCCTTGCCAGTCCCCAACTTCCCGTTAGTCCACGCGCGTTCACTCCCGTTAGCTAGTTCGACTCTCTCCTAGGCTCGGGCTCGGTCCATAGAGGTACTGGGGCTCAGCGGCTCCGTATCCTCCTTCCAAGGCTTCCTCCCGGTTCTCTGGCCGCCATCAACACACGTCTACGGACTTCAGCTTCGCGGCCAACGCGACGGACGCCGCCCACTGCCGCGGCTCGACGCCCGCGGGGGCGTCTGGGAGTTGTAGTCCGGACCTGTGAGCTGACGCAGTTCGGGGCAGACCGACGGGCTAGCTAGCGCCATTGTGTCTTCTCGGGCACGCGTCGTGCCGCGTGAAAGCCCGTCGGGGACAGCGCCCATCTTCTGTTTTATGACTTTACACCCTCTGGAGCCCAGAGCTGGCTTTGCTTGCGCTTCCACTTCTGCGGACCCGGAAGGAGCTGTGTAGCCGTGGGTCCGGATCCTCAGAGAGACCTCGCGCTCTGGATGTAGGACACGGTTAAGAACACCAATCGCGTCCCGGATTGGAGGACATCGGAAGATCTGTCCCCTCGCGGTTAGAGGGGAACCCGACTTGTAGGCGCGTGGGAGTCGGGGAGAGGACTCGCCGGGCATTTTCAAGTGTGGGGGCGGGCTGGTCATGTCCCGCCGAGAGACCGGTTAAGGGCCGAGGTGGAAAGAGCTTCCAGGCACATTCCTTAGCCTCCCCCAACTCTCCTTCCACCTTCCGTTTCCTCAGCACGCTGCCCACCCCGCTGCCCACCCCGGCGAGAGAACTTTGAGGACAGTATGGCCTCCACGCTTCCCACAGTGTGGCCTCATGTGAGTAGGGGTTTCTTTCAGCTTCGGAGTCTGCCCCTGAGGGAGGCGGCTGGTGGTGAGACATCTGTTCTCTAATACCCTAGAGTTCCGGGAGGAGGGTGGTTAGAATAAAAAAAGAAAAGAAAAAACAAAACAAAACGAAAAAAACAATTTCTGAACTGGGATTCTACAGGCCAGATTGAGGCTTTTCAATTAAAAATGGTTTTTTATTACATCTTTTTTGTGTGTGGATATGCACGTGTGTTCCGCTGTCTTGCGTGTAGAGGACAGAGGACAATTTGCCGAATCGCTTCTCTCCTTCCAAAATGCGGGTCCTGAAGCTCACACTCAGGCTTGTTAGGAAACACCTTTATCCACTGAACCACCTCGCCAGTCCTTTTCAACTATTTTCTACTATTTTTTTTTAAGCTGGGGATGCGGGAGAGGGAGAAACTGACGAGTGTAAATATAGGAGGCTCGTGGTTAGCTTTCTGCAACTGCAAGAAAAGCAGTGAGATGGGAACTAACAGTCCTATGCCCTGGTTAATGAGAAATGAACAGGTTTTCATAGTCCAGAGGTCCCATAAGGCCTCCTGAGTAGTGTCAGAACGGTTTGCTCAAGGACTCAAACAAAGGAACTTGAGATGAGACAAGTAGAATGTTGCTGGGTCGTCTTGGTCAGTCTTCCCATTTTCCTCTCACTGTGGAAGAGGAAGACCCCCTGGCTGAACAACATCCTGTGGGTTTTAGGAACCTGTGAAGTTTGAAGATGTATCACTGACATTTTCCAAAGAAGAGTGGGCACAGCTGGAATTCCAACAGAAGTGCCTATACAAGGAAATCATGCTGGAGAACTACAATAACATGGTTTCAGTGGGTAAGGCAACCTCCACTTTTATAAAGATGTGTTTGGGCCTTGGGAGGTGGTACACACTTGTAATTCCATCACTCCAGAGGTGGAGGAGGAAGAAGATTGAAGTTGAGGGTTATTTATTCTTGACTCTACCTCCTTCTTCCTCCTCCCCCAATTTTTTTTTTAACTCCGAAAGTGTGGTACCTCTGAACTGTTTGCGCTTGGGCTTAGGCTGGACAGACCAGAGTGGAAGTGTTATGGCAGTTGAGAGCTTGGTAGTGAAAAGAAAAAGGCAGCTTTTCAGTATAACTTCAGAAGTTTCATCCAGTCAGTACATCAGAGCCCCTGAATACTGGGCAGAGCCTATAAGGGATATTTATGGCTGCAGTGACAGGTGCCTATAATTTTTATGGCACTTCCAGCATATGAGATGTCGGTGTCCAGCAGCTCAGAGATATCATCAAAGATTGTGATTTCTTTGTGGTTCTTAGGAAGTTTTCTGTCTTCTCTAGTTATTGTATAGCTGTGGCTCCAAGCTTCATGTCTATGTTTAGGCAGAAGCATGAAATGTAGATAGTCCTGACCAGTTTTTTTCTCTGCTGTCACATTTAGCCAAGAAGCAAAAGCTTCTGCAGAATGTCCCCCAATTGAACAATCTCCCTTTTTTACTTTATGATTCCTCTACTGTCGAGGAAACCCAAGAAATCCAATAAAAGGAATAGATGTGTAGTTATCACTGCCCAAGGCCTAAAGTTATCATGTGACAGCCTGGGGAAAAGAAGGGATAGAGTGTTACAAGAGGACAGCATTTTCTCTAAGCAGACTCCCCAAGCCCTGTCTCTTTTCCCTTGAGCAGAACGTCACTTTTCCAAGCCAAATGTGATCTCTCAGTTAGAAGAAGTAGAAGACTTCTGGCCAGTGGAGAGAGAAATTCCTCAAGATATCTTTCCAGGTGAGAGCCAGGCATGAGGGAGTTTCCAAAAGGGATGGGCCTACTGATTATTCTGAGACTAATGTCTTCTAAGCTATGGAGAACTCAAGTAGCATGCTGTTTTTTATTTTATTTAGTTATTTTCCAATCTGCAGTCATTTCTTCATGGTGCTGGTGATTAAGCCCAGGGCCTTTCACATGATAAGCAGAGCAGACATGCTATCACTGAACTAACATCCTCAGTCTCAGTCTTTGTATGGGGCAATGGTTATGGTATTTGGGATTTGTGTGCAGTGGTAGTGATGTTTGTGTTGGGGGTTTTGTTGTTGGTTTGGTTTTCTGTTTTGTTTTGAGATAAGGTCTTATGTAGCCCAGGCTGGCCTCCAACCTACTATATAACTCAATTCTTGATCATCCTTCTACCTTAGAAGTTCTAGGGTCACAAATGTGTGCTACTATGCTGGCTCCTATTTTTATTTCTCTTCTAAGCTTTCTTGTTGTTGGTGTTGTTAACTACACAGCCATACTGTCTGAATACTTTTGTGAATTCAAGCATTTTAACTTTGCTTTTTGTTGTTATTCTATTTATCCAGTTACACTTTGTATATGGTGGACACAAGTTCTTTCAGCCCCATATTCTGATTCATTCTTATACTTGTTGGAAACACCACCTTTCCATAGACCAAATTGCTATTGTCATAGTACAGAAGCCTCTTCTGTGCTCTTATGCTTTGATCTTTTGTGCTTTTCCTCTCTGGGTGCATACCATAATGCTATATACATTTTATTGTATATTAGTGAACTTCAATAAATTTCATTCCTCTTGTAATTTAAAAAAAATAAATAAAACTTTGGATGTCTTTGGACATCTAATCTCTAAATAAACACCAGCTTGCCTGAGTTAGTTGAGAATATCCTGTGAGAATGTACATTAAATTTGATTAGACCTATATTGTTACTGTTACCTATTCTGTTTAATCCTTTCTTGCACAGTTATTCAGATGAATCTGTCATCTTGGTAAATTCTCTTAACATTGGTGTTTTAATTACTTTTCTATTGCTGTGAAGATATAAGTGGCCATGACCAAGACCACTTAGAAGAGAAAAAATTTAATTGAGGGCTTGCTTACAGTTTCAGAGGGTGAGTCCCTGACTATCATGGTGGGGAACATGGAATCAGGTAGGCAGGCATGGCGCTGGAGCAGTAGCTGAGAGCATACATCCTAATCCACAGGCAGGAAGCAAGATAGAGCTCATGATATCTGGGAATGGCATGGGCTTTTGAAACCTCAAAAACCCACCCCTAGTGGCACACCTCCTCTATCAAGACCACAGCCAATCCTTTCCAAACAGTTTCACCAACTGGGAACCAAACATTCAGATATGTTAGCCTGTAGGAGCCATTCTCATTCAAACCACCCCAGTCTACTTCCTGACCCCCATAAGTCCATGGCAGTATTATGATACAAAATGCATTCAGTCCAACTCCAGAACTCCCCATAGTCTTTCACAGTCTCAACACTTTGAAAGGTCAGAGTCTTGAGAGCTAGAGAGGTGGCCCAGTGGTTAGAATACTGGCGGTTCTTGTAGAGAACCCAAGTTCAGTCCCACACAGGGACTCACAACCATCTGTAACTCCAGTCCCAGGGGATCTGACACCCTCTTCTGTCCTCTGAGGCCACCGCACTCTGACACATACATACACTTACAGAAGTACTTAATAATGAACAAAAATTGAAATAAAAACAAAAAAGTTCAAAGTCTCTTCTGAAGCTCAAGGCAGTCTCTTAACTGTAACCCCCTTTAAATACAAAAGGCTAGTTACATACTTCCAACATACAAATGTCACAGGATGTATTTTACCATTCCAAAGGGGGAAAAGTGAGGAAATATTGGACCAAAGCAAGATCAAAACCATACAAGACAACTCCAAAACCCTGTAACTCCACGTCATTTGGGGCTTGCTAACAGTTTCAGAGGGTTAGCACGTGACCATCACGGGGAAACATGGCAACAGGCAGGCAGGCATGATGAATGAGCAATCGCCGAGAGCTCACATCTGATCCACAAGCAGGAGGCAGAGATAGCTAACTGGGACTGGCATGAGCTTTTGAAACACTCCCAGTGACACACCTCCTCTGACAAGGCCACAACTTCTAATCTTTCCCAAACAGTCCCACCAACTGGGGACCAAGTATTCAAACATATGAGCCCAAGGGTACCAGTCTCCTTCAAATCACCACAACCACTGAGCCATCTCTGCCGTCCTATGTTCTTTTTCTTTGCTTTGGACAATTACATAGTTGCATCATCACATATAAAACATCATGAAAGAGTGCGTATCTGGCCTAACTTAATAGGAAAATTTCTGGGTCTTGATGCGCATGATGTTAGATTTTGCTTTATTTCACATCAACATTCATCTAAATGAATAAATATTCATCTAGTGCTAGAAACGAAGGAAAATCAGTAATACTTCGTATTTCCCTTTCAGAATCTTCCAAGGTGGTCAGAGCGGTAACATAGTAGATTTAAGAAGTGCCTTGCTGTAAGGTTATACTTTCGTGATGATCTTCATAAATGACTGGGTGGTATTCACTGTTTTTGCTGTCTTCAACTTTTCTGTATATGTGTTGGGGATAAAGTACACTGTGTGCTACTGGATGCTTCTCATTATTTTTATATGCTCTGCTGGAAGTAGCATCAGAGCCACTGCTTCTGGCACCATTCACCTATCAGATCTCCATCTGGTGCCGTCTTTGGTGATGACTATTAGCCACAACACAAAGGGACTGGAATTACTGACTTAGCACACCCCCTTCTCTGGACCCAAATTTGGGGCTAGGAGTAGAAAACCAAAATACAAACACATACAGATTAAGTTGGCAACAGACACCTGGCCACATTAGCTGTGAGAGGAGTGACTTTTATTGTTGAGGAGTATGTCGTGTGACATGGCTTTTCACAGTAGAATCGGTGGATATAGGTATCTAATTAGCTACACTAGACAAAAATAAGCTGCTGAGAATTCTTATGGGTGAAGGAAGCCCGGAAGGGATTTCCTGTGGCTGTTTGTTCATGGTCTGTATGTTTACTGCTAACATTCTTTTTGTGGTCCTGGAGACTGGTGCCAGGGGCCTTGTATGTGCTAAACAAGTATTTTGCCACTGGGCTACTGCAATGCAAGGAAAACTTTGCCTGAATTTTTTAAATTAACTTATTTTACAGATGTAAACTATTTTGTTATTTGTTTTACATACCAACCATAGTTTCCCCTCCCTCTTCTCCTCCCATTCCCTCCCCCTACTTCCCTTCTAGCCACCCCCATCCACTCCTCCTCCTCCTCCATTCAGAAAGAGTAAGGCCTCCCATGGGAGTCAACAGAGCATGGCACATCAAGTTGAGGCAGGACCAAACTCCTCCCCCCTGAATCAAGGCTGAGCGAGGCATCCCAGCATAGGGAATAGGTTCCAAAAAAGCCAGCTCATGCACTGGGGATAGGCCTGGCCCCACTACTAGGGGCCCCACAAACAGACCATTTTAAGGAGTAGAACCCTTTTCTCTCCATGATGACATAATGTTGAGTAAAACTTTAGACTAATCATGTAAAGAATTACCTAATGGCATTCACCTTGAAAGTTCTTTTTTTAACTGTGCCATGTCTCTTCTTGTTCTGTCAATAACTTATAAATGAAAAGGAATTGGGGTTGGGGATTTAGCTCAGTGGTAGAGCGCTTGCCTAGCAAGCACAAGGCCCTGGGTTCGGTCCTCATCTCCAAAAAAAGAAAGAAAAAGAAAATGAACCTTAGACACATCCAAGGAGTTTTGCTAATCCAATCGAATAAACTTGTTTGAACTTCAAAGAGGTTCAGGTAGCACATAAAAAATAAGAGATTTTAGAATATCATATATTGCTATTAAATGAGATACTACATCTCCACTAGTCTCCCAACAGTGGTATGCTGTGCATCTTATTGATGCACAGAACTGAGATTAAATCAAAAGCTGGGATTCTTTTTCACAATTCAGCTTGCATGCCTCTCCATTTTTCCACCATAGCTAGAATGACATCATGGAATGTGGTTGTTGAAGTAATATGAGAAAATGGATAAATACTAAGACAAATGTCATTCATCCTCAAGAAAGCTTCGAATTGAATAAGATCCTGTGTAGGCATGGGAAACTAAACTAGGTTGTGCTTGCTGGGTGGTGGTGGTGGTGCGCACTCGGGGCAGAGGCAGGTAGATCTCTGTGAGTTCAAGACCAGCCAGGTCTACAGCGTGAGTTCCAGGACAACCAGGGATACATGTAGAGAAACCCTGTCTCAAAAAAGCAAAAAGGAAAAAAAAAAAAATGAAGCATGAAGTGAACCTGATAAATATAGTGTGACAACACTTTCAAACAGTAAACAGGTTTATAAATTATATTTGAATTTACATTACAGAAAAAAGGTGTTTTCTTTGAGAAAGAGGCAGATACTGCTGGATTTAATTCTTTGTATAGCCTACGAGAATGTCCACATGCTAGAACAAACATGGAAAGTGAAAGAAATAATTATATAAAATTTTAGAATAAATATATGAAAAATGATGGAATTTCACATATACAGAACTCTGAGGGCTCAGAACCTTATAGATTTGTTTGAGAGTCTAGAATCTAGAACTATCATACATTTTGACTAGAGCCTAGTACAGTAGTGTGTTTGTATGGTTGGTTGGTTTTTTGTTCAAGAACATATTTTCTCTCATCTTCATGTATTTGTTCTCTGGGATCTTTGTAGTGTGTGTGTGTGTGTGTGTGTGTGATCAAAAAAACAGTGTGCTGTAAATGTGTTGAGTGTGAGAAAGCCCAATTTCAGCTCATATTAAACTTCCTTAACTATTAGAAGGCTAAAACCAGATATCAGTCTGTAAAGACATGGATGATAGTCATTTTGTGAAATTTTCAATCTCTGAGGACTCACTCTTAAGAGAAGAAATCTCAGAAATATGATTGGAACAAGAACGGCTTCTGACCTAAGTTAGTCTTGCCTTGAGAAAACTCACACTAAACCCCCCTCCCCAGAAAAAAAAATCACAGTTTTGTGTTTGGAAATTTTCTTCTACCAAATAACAGCATCTGAGAACTCTGAAACCATGAGAATGTACATGATGTAGAAACAGTTCCATGTGTGGCTCTCGTATTTGTCATTGCAGTTGTGCCAGGGTCAGTCTTAAGAACACTGTCACTATTAGGAAGCCACTGAGTGTCAAAGAATTTACTGATGGGGATTGCTGTAAGCATGACAATGTGGGAAACTTCAGTAGGAGTCCTCATTGTGCTCTGTATCAGAGGACTCATATGGGCAAAGACCATTTGGATGCATTGTGTGGGGAAGTCATCAGCTTTAACCACTACATTATCTGAGAGTTAAAAAAAAAAACTCAATAGAAAGGATTACAGTGAATAAGAAAAAGGAAATATCAGAGGTCATAAAAAAGCAAACCCTGCATAAAATTTGAATAATACAAATTTATAGCTGTAGTAAAGCAATTTCTAACATCTCTAATTCTGTTTTCTGACCTAAATATTAAATGATATGAATGAGAGCAATCACCATTACTATAATTCTATCCATTCCAATTTGTTAGTGATATGACTGAATTGCTTGGAGTGAATAAATATCTGAAGAAATCACAAGAAACATTGGTATAGCTTCAAAGATAATTTCAGTTATGAGTACAAGCTTTGAGAAAGGAAAGGGAAATTTGAGGCTGCAAGTGTTATAAAGACCTCTGAGGGCTCAGAGTCTTACTGATTTGTTCAAGAATCCAGAATCAGGTGTGGCCATGTATTATCATGATTCTCTTAAGTTGATACCATTCCCTAACATCCACCCTTAGAATCTAGGGTAACTGGAAAGTCTGGAATACATTTCTAAAACCAAAGAACAAAGCATTGGAGCAAACATTTTCTAGGGGAGATGAGGAGGAGACATCCCTCTGAAAAAGTAAGAAAGAAAAAAAAAATGATTTTTTTAAAGCAAGGCCTGGTATTATAGGCCTATAATCCCAGCTCCTTGGGAAGCTGAGGCACAGGTTCAAGGCCAGTCTGGGCAATTTAGTGGGCACCTGTCCTCAAATAAAAAGCGTAAAGAGGGGCTGGTGATATAGCTCAGTTGACAAAGTGTTTACCCAACATGCAGAAGGCCTTGGGTTGAATTCCCAGCACCACATAAACCAGGTATTGTGGTAGATTCCTGTAATCTCTGACCTCAGGAGGTAAGTAGAACATCAGAATTTTAATGTCCTTCTCTACTACATAGAGTTTGAGGACAGCCTGGGTTGTCTGCCCTGTCTCAAAAATGAGTGTGAGTCCCTGTTGATGTAGCTCAGTAGTTGAGCACTCATTTAGTGTGGGCTAGGTCCTAGGCCAAGAAAAATCAGAAAGGAAAAGCAAGTGCATGAACTTTGCTTCTTTTTAGACAAAATATAAACAACTGACATACAAAATAAAACACAAGTTAAAAACTATACAGGAAATGGAGGGAAATCTAGACAGGTCCTCTGCAATGCATGTAACTTAATAATAGTACTTTGTATATAAGAACAAGCCAGCTCCTTATGTATTCAAAAAAACAATATTTGTGTTCTTTAAAACAGGTATACGAAACTGAGTCTCAAGTATCCCAGGCTAGCCTGACTTTGCTATGTAGCCAAGCTTGACCTTGAATTTCTGATCCTCCTGCCTCTATCTCCTATGTGCTGGGAGTACGGGTGTGCATTGCATTGCATTGCCTGGTTTGAATGCATTGCTAGGGATTGAACCCAGGGCTTCCTGGATGCTAGGTAATTCTCTGCCAACTGAGCTACATACCCAGCCCTGTTTTTGTTTTTGTTTTTTAGATGAATCTGTCTTTGTGACTCTAGTTGGCCTAGAACTGAATATATAGACTTGACTAGACTCTTACATGCAGGGATCCCGTCTTGCCTCTGGCTCCCAGCTATAACAATTATGGGATGTGCCACCCTGCCTAGCTTTTGCTCTGGTTTTGACTTACAGAATCTTCTGGGCCTTCTTTGGACCCTGGAATAAATTCCTTTCCTGATGAGAGTCCCTTGACGAAGATCAATGTTGTTGAGGTCCTTACACTGAACAAGGATGTGGCCGGTCCCCGGAATGCCCTGATTCAATCCCTCTATCCGGAAAGTGGAGAAGACCTGAGCCTAGGTAACCTTGAGCCATCTCAACAACCAAGCAAGCATTTGACTGACACTGAAGTTGCTCACCAAAAGTTCCGACATTTCCAGTATGAAGAGTCAGATGATCCCCAGAAGGCTGTGTCTCAGCTTCGTAAGCTGTGTCACCAGTGGCTGCAGCCCAGTACACATTCAAAAAAACATATCCTGGAGCTACTGGTGCTTGAGCAGTTCCTCAATGCACTGCCTGAGAAGTTGCGGGTATGGGTGGAATCACAGAGCCCAGAGGATTGCCAAGCAGCAGTGACCCTGGTGGAGAATGTGACCTCAGTGTCTAAGGAAGATGGTGAGTGCCATGGAATGGTGGCCTTAGAAACATCTAAGGCTTTGTGGAGGAATGAGGAATGCTGGAGGGTTGTTCCCACTCCAGACCACAAACATCTGTGTCTTCCGCATGTTACCAGGTCAGAGTTAATGGAAACCTGAAGTGGCTGGTATCCAGCCCTGTTCTCCCAAACAACAACCTCCTATGGGCTTTAATGGAAGCTCACAAGTGCAGTGCCTTTTTTTTTTTTTTTTTTTTTTAATCCTCTTGGGATCCCTGAATCCCTGACACTTAGCCAGCCTTCCAGTTCTTTGTAGGGGCTGTGAATGAAGTTGTAACTAAGGCAGGACTTGAGCTTATTGAACCTGTGGTCCTGCAGAAAAGATGTGGTATGACAAAGTGAATACACATGTGATGGTGATAAGATGGTGGAAAGGTCAGGATACTGGTGGAGTTTATGGAGACTGTTTCTGTCACTGATGTGTGTTACAACTAGAACAGTGAAAAAAGGGAGCAGGATGGATGTGCTGGTGGGCCATGAGCCAAGAACTCTGGGTATCCTGTAGAAGTTGGAAAAGCAAAGAATGGGTTCTTCCCTACATCCAAAAGAATATGGCCCTGTTAATGTCTTGATTTTAGGCCAGTGAAGCTGATGCCAGAGCTCTGGTCTCTGGAACCCTAATATAGTTTGCCAGACCTAATTATATAGGCTTATAATCTAAGATATAATCTAAGTCCAAGTCAAGTCACCAATTCAAGGCCCACTTGGGCTACAAGTGAAGTTCAAGGCCAGTGTGAGCAATTTATCATGACTCTGCCTCAAAATAGAAAGCAGCTGGGGCTGTCATCAGTAGTGGAACACTTATCTAGACTGCACAGCATTCTGGGTTTAGTCCTCAGAATTTGGGAGTGGGGTGCAGTTAATGATAGTTAACTGGAGTTTAACTCCCCAGAAGCTACATTGAAAAATCTGGTCATGGTCATGCATGCCTGTAACCACACTATTAGATTAGGTGGAGACAGGAAGATGACTAGGGTTTGCTGGCCTCCAGCCTGGCTACAAGTTCCGTGAGAAATCATGACTCAATGGAATACAGCAAAGAGTGATGGAGCAGGACACCAGAGATCTAACCTCTGCATGCACCCAAATACACATACACCACAATTACAGACACCAAAAAAGCAGTAGTGCTTATGAGATGAAATTGAGTTTACCCTGTGTTTAATATGTCACAGCCTAATGACAATGACCTTTCACAGAGGACCCTGAGAAAACTATTTGTGCTCATTGTACTAGTTGGGATTCTTTGGTGTCACTCATAAAACCTTAAAAGCAGCTCCAAGAAGAAGGAAAGTTTACTGGAAAAATTCCAAACTCTAACTCTAGGAACATCTATACCTAGGAACTTCAATAAGCACCTCAAATTATCCTTTCTTCCATACCTCAGTTGGCTGCCTTCAGCTGACTTCATTCCCATTAAGGCTTCAAACACAGGATTTCTCTTTCCTAAATGTTCCAGCAAAAGCTTCAGTTGCTCTGAAAGTCTATGATCTCCCATGTTTACAAGAGTCCATTTATAGTGATGGAGTGATAGCATGGTAGAGCAACCTGAGTCACATTGTCCACAAAGCTGGCTGGAGTAGAACAGCATTGTAAAAGCCCATGGAGCATGTGAAGACACATGAGGAAGGCTAGATCTGAAGGAGTCCTTGGGAGGGCTGTTAGGACTGGCCAGGAATATTTAAGGTGACAGAAGCACAACCCTGTGACCAACGGAAGAGGAGCCACACAAGCATGGTAAGGGCTTGTAGACTAGAAACAGACTTTACCACTAAGGAGAAGGTGTGAGGCCATTGCCTCAGAAGCTAGAGCCTGAGACAGATGCTGGAGGGGGAAGGCAATAAAGGGTGTCAGTAATGGAAACAGTAGTCCATGCAGGGTGACAATCTGGGCCCTTCCAGGTATGGGAATTAGTTACCCATTGTGAAGAAGGCAACATAGACCATCAAGGGACATGGATATGCACAGCTCGAGGGTTGCAGAGCCTGGCAGTTCTGCCTGCCTGAAGGCTGCCACCCCATTGATCCCTTCATGTGGCATCTCCTCCAGCTCTGCTTGCCTGCCATAATGAGGCCACTGATGGACTGAAAGAGAAAAAGAAGGACATGGCCACCTTACCAGTTACTATACCACCTGAGGTAAGCAAGAACCTTACCTTTTGTTTTTTTTTTTTTTGGTCACAGCTTTCTATAAGGGGCCCACCCCTAAAATGCCCCCTTCTACACTGAGCCTTGCTGAGGCTTCACACAAGATAGGCAGTTTTAACCTTCTGAGTTCTTGGGACTGAGTGGAGTTCTGAAACAACCAAAGTGTGAAGGGCAACCCTGCCTCCTGACATTATGACCTGGCCACAGAAGAAAGCAAAAAGCAAGAGTAAGTGGACCAAGGCTGATGAACATGAGAATCAGAGCAACCACAGGCAGCCTGTAAGAACCACGTTGTACCCTGGTTAGAACCAGAGAGCCCTTGTCCTTCAGAAACACTCAGCTGGGGAATTAGGAGTGGAACAGCACAGCCCAGATGTGTCTCAGAACAAACTAGGTGATGTGCTTGCAGCAGGGTGTTGGCCTTGTCTGCTATAGGATATGGTGTGGATATGGCAGTAGTGCTGCTTGCCCTGAAAGTGGTTTATATTGGCCCAGGCGTGTGATTGAAACTGTTGGCTCTCAAGTAATGAGCAGTCTAGAGTAGGCTTCAAGTAAGGCTGCTACTGTGAGTGGGGAGAAACTGCTTAATCCCAGACTTGCTCTGAATTCTATTCCCCCCAAGGTAGGCTCTTCTCCATCTGGGCAAAAGACCTCCCCTATCTGGGCAGAGTTGGTGAAGTGGAAGAGTCTTCCTTTCAGAATCTTTAGCTGCCCATAAAAATCTAACACAGCATAGGTGAATGCTCCACATAGGTTAGACCTGACCACAAAGGCAAGGACTATGGCTTCATTGTGTTTCTAGCTTCAAGTCTGTTTCTAGAGGGAGAAGGTTCTCTGGTGAGATGCTGTCCTTACAGTGCATCCTTGACACAGATGCTAGCATGATTGATATGGCTTCCTTATTACACTTATAGCTCTTTGTCAATCAGGGGTTCTGTCTACCAGCTTGGGACCCAGACTTTGGAGAAATACCCTGTGGGTCTCTTTTGGGCTTGAGAAGTCATTGTCTCTGACCAAACCACCAAAGCAGAAGAGTCCCTATCTGGTGTAATGTCGCAGTGGCCTTTATTCTACCCACATTGACAAACACCAAATAACATTTTCATAACATTACAGGAGCCAGTAACCTTCCAGGATGTGGCTGTGGACTTCAATCAAGAGGAATGGCAGCTACTAGGTCCAGTGCAGAGGACTGAGTATCATGATGTGATGCTGGAGACCTTGGGCAACTTGGTCTCAGTGGGTAAGACCATGCTTACATTTAGAATGCCGCAGGGTCCCCTCAGGACTCGCACTCTCTCTCTACCCATTGTCAGGACTGGCTGTGCTCTCAAGGGTCTCTTACTCTGTCCAGAACCTTTCTTTGGGCTTGTGACCCAATGTGGGTAGGGAAACTTAAGTACTCAGAGGCAGCCTCTGGTTGGGTTTGCCTGGGGGAATGAGAGAAAGCTCCTTCCCCTCACCCATCGGTCACCAATTGATTATTCCTGGTTTTGCTGCTAACGAGCTTGCCAGCCATTCCCTAAAATGAATGACTATTTGAGGAAAGGATGTAATCTCATTTTTTTAATACTGTTTGTTATACTGTCATTCTGCCATTTTTAACTACAGTATGCTTATCTTTTGGTTTCTTTCAGGGTGGGAGCCTACATTGGGAAACAAAGAGTTAAGTCCAAAATCACCCAGTTCTATGGTAGAAACAATTCGTGACCCAAAACCAAAAAGTTTCTCAAGTAATGGTACCCAGTCCTCTGTTATTGAAAATATCTCACAAAATGAGGTGCAAGAAATCCATACCATAGAATCAAATCAAGTGGAGGTTGTACAGAAAAAAGACCTCCCTCAGGAGGAGATCTCTGAAAGCCCCAAGTCTCAGGGGCAAATTAGGCTTCACACAAGCCAAGACTCACTCGATGAAGTTCTTCCGAGAAAGCACTTGCATGTAAAAAGTAACCAAAGGGGCTTTGGAAAGAGGAAAGCCAAGAAAAAACACATTTCCATGACACGAGATTCACCCATAAGAAATCAGCAAAAGGACTCTGTAGTATGCCAAGTCAGAGATGGCAGCAATTCCATGACACATAGTTCTTCTATAAAAAACCCTCAGCAGAGTTATGAGCAGGGTAAAGTTGGGGGCAGCAGAGATCCCATTATACTTATATCACCTGCAAAAATTTACCAGCAAGCCACTGGCTCTGAAGCGGGCAGAGTCAGGGACAGCAGCAATGCCATGGAACCTGATGCATCTATAAAAATTCACCAGAAAAGTGCTGAGTGGGGTAAAATTGGGAAAAGCAGCAGTTCCATGACACAAGGTTCGTCTATACAAAATCACAAGATGGTGTCTGGGTTAGGAAGAGCCAGGGACAGGGACAGTTCCTTGGCACATGCTTCACCTGTAAAAATTCTCCAGAAAGACTGTGAAAAGAGTAAAGTCCGAGGAAACAGGAATTCCTTGAAACATGTAAGAATTAGCCAGAAGGATTCTAATGGTGGGAGAGTCGGGGAAATGAGTACATCCATAAAACACAGTCCCCATATAAAAATTCACCTGAAGACCTCTGAAAGGGGGAAAGGCAGGGAAACTAACACTTCTATAAAATATGGTCCCCATGTGAAAACTTACCAGAAGGGTTCTGAAGAGGGGACTACTAGGAAAGCCAACAATTGTAACAAAGCTATCAGCCATCATGCTCAGCAGATATTTTTTATAAAAATTCATAAAGGAAGCCAAATTTGCCGGTGCAGTGAATGTGGCAAACTATTCCAGAATGCTAGGTATTTTTCTGTCCATAAAAAGATCCACACAGGAGAACGGCCTTACAAGTGTATGGCCTGTGGGAAAGCATTTGTTCAGAGCTCCTCCCTCACACAGCATTATAGAATTCATAGTGGAGAGAGACCATTTGAGTGTTCAGAGTGTGGGAGGACCTTCAATGACCGCTCAGCCATCTCTCAACACTTGAGAACTCATACTGGGGCTAAGCCCTACCATTGTCAACAATGTGGGAAAGCCTTCCGCCAGAGTTCCCACCTTACCAGGCATCAGAGAACTCACACTGGGGAGCGCCCATATGTGTGCACCAAGTGTGGGAGGGCTTTCACTCAGAGCTCACACCTTATTGGGCATCAGAAAACACACGGGATTAAGTTCAAGAAGAGGCAATCCAAACTGCAGTCCTAGTGCCTTTCAAACCACTGCCTCTTCAGCCTTGAGATGCACTCTGCAGACTTTTGAGTAAGGAGAGTCCCACACCTGAAGAACAGCTCAGGACACCACCCAGCAGGCCTGAGGGTGCCTGAAACTATCAGGGAGTTCTTGATTGCTTCATTTAGCCATTAAAGAAAATATGAAATCTGAAAATGCTCCTAAATCTAAAAACCAGTTACCAAAAACTGCAGAGATAATTATGCACAGGGTCAAGTATGTGAGTGACAAAAACCAAAAGAATGTATATAAATAAATAAATAAATAAATATAATTGTTTTGAAATTTGTGTTTCCTGCTGTAATGAATGTTCTTGGTTGTCAACTTTACTACATCTGCAGTTAACTAAAACACAAGCAGCTGGGTACATCTGAAGAATTTTGTTCTTAAATTTTTTGAGGTGGGAAAATTCACCTTTAATCTGGGCCGCACCTGCTGACAGCCTATATAAAGGACATAGAAGGAAGATGCTTGCTTTCTTTGCCTACTTGCTCTTATTCATGCTAGTACATTTTTCCCCTGGCATTAGAGATTCTGGCATGTACTGAAGGCCAGCTGGACATCCAGCCTTGTGAACTGAACTCTATTATTGGACCTTCCATTGGTAGACAGCCATTGTTGGACTATTGGTGACTATGGGGGGTCCAGCCCCTTGATAGTCCCCTCCCAAGGTCTTGGAAGGATCTACAACCAGCTGATAATTAATTTTTGATGATATGAAATGAATCTATGTACATGAAACTCCTTAGTCCATACACTTTATTCTGTCAGTTCTCTCTCTGCGCAGCTTCTATTCTGTTCTCATGCCTAGCTCCTTCCTTACCTGATTCTCTACATTTATCTGCTGTCCCCTCTTACGTTCTATCTTAATTCTCTCATATTATTCTGCCCCATCTAGGTTCTCATCCATCTAGTTCCTTTCCATCTTAGCTCCTCTCCTATCTCCCTCGTCTTGTTCCTCCCCATCTGGCTCTTCCTCATCTTCCATCTCATTCCTCTAGTACTCTCTTCAAGGCCTTCAATCTAGTTCTTTCCCACCTAGTTCATTCCTCTCCAGTTCTTACCCATCTAGTTCCTCCATTCTCTTTTCTCCATCTCGTCCTCAAGTTCTCTCTCTCAAATTCCTCCTCTGAATCTCCTATACCCCTCAGTTCTTCATTCTCAAGTTCTCTAAGGAATTCAGTTATAAACCCAAGCAATAGCAATCCTCCCCCTCCAGCCAGGTCACCAGGCTTGAATTCCTACAGGGTCATAAAGGCAGGTAAGAATTTTCCTCAGGCAGTGGCTGTCAGGCTTTCTTTTACAACCCAAAAGGGGAGTGGTAAAGGAGGAGGTCAACTGCAAGCTAATGATCAGTTAGTACATCAGAAAAGGGAATCTGTGTGCTCAAACTACATTCCTAGAAGTGGTTAGGTAAGAAATTAGGAGTCTATAATATTAGTAAGGCTGTAAGAAAGGAGGGTCTCACCCTAAATTGCACAAGAAATAAAGCTATTTGCCTGACCCAGGAGACAGGTGTTGTTTTGTTTGGTCTTGGATGCTTAAGTCTGTTCTTAGAGAATACAGAGGTATCTCTGGTAAGATACTTCCGTCTCTACAGGGATGGACCCGGCCAGATGCTGCCAATGACAGTAATTACAGGGAGGCTTGAACTGGGGTTCTGGCTGTGCATAGCTGCCAGCACAGAAGATTATCTAAATATCCCATTAGTAGAAAGGAAATGGTGCCCAATAAATTATAGAAAAGCTACAATAACACAAGAAACTCAGCAGGAAACAGCTAATAAAAAAGCCAAATATCACCAAGGCCCCTTGAGCCTCAGCTTGACCTCTGGAAGGCCCTTGGCTTCTTCCAGGTATTACCTTTGTCATAACCAGCTGAAATCCTTTATATAGTTTTGCAGCTTGTAGCATTGGACCACAGCCTGTAAGTCATTCTAATAAATGTGTGTATATTTGTGTGTATGTGTGTGTGTGTGTGTGTGTGTGTGTGTGTGAGAGAGAGAGAGAGAGAGAGAGAGAGAGAGAGAGAGAGAGAGAGAGAGAGGAGAGGAGAGAGAGAGGAAAAAGACTCAGATCCATTACTCTAGAGAACCCTAATACACTTGCTTAATTAAGAATATGCTGGGTTGGGGATTTAGCTCAGAGGGTTGGGGATTTAGCTCAGTGGTAGAGTGCTTGCCTAGCAAGCTCAAAGCCCTGGGTTCGATCCTCAGTTCCACAAAGAAAAAAAATATGCTGATCTGATGCTTAAATGAGCAACATTAAAACAAAATGTCTTATCAAACAGTCCTAGCAGATCTATGCAAGGCTGGATGGAGATGCATTATGTGAAATTTCCAAATAGTCAATAAAAATACTGTCAGAAAAAAAAATCTCCAGATCACACACAGCTGACATCATCCCTTTCTCCAGGGTTCCACATTGCTCCTCTAAGTTCTTTATAACATTAAAAACATTCTAGAGCTGGGGTTGTGGCCCAGTGGGTGAACATGTGCTTTGCATATATAAAGTTCAACTCCATCGCACGTGTGTACACACACACACACACACACACACACACACCAGAGCCCTTAGGATCTAGCCTATAGAGCATGTTTAATCATTCCCTCTTGGGTGAATGCCTCACCTTTCTCAGAAGCAAATAGGACTTGAAGACAGGTGTCTTGGTGTAAGGTCAAGTATGTGAGAAAAGGGCTAGTTATGAGGATGCATACATCAGTCGTAGTGCAGTTATTATCATGCGGTGTTTAATTGTTTCAACAACCTAATAAAGTGTTAGTATTTTTGAAATGGGACTTAAGTTTGCCCAAAGGTGTGTTAGGCAGTAAATTACTCCATATTATTGTCTACCAAGTATGAAACAAGTGGTTGGACTAGAGACTAAAACCTAAGAATCTCATTTTTCTGGATCCATAACACTAAAAGGGGCCTCTCCAACAGTGAGGAGCCAGAAACAGTCAAGAGATGGGAAAATTATGAACTACAGGAGAACTTTGGATCAGAAGATGCAACATGCAGCTTGGGAAATATGGTTTGCCTGTGTGTTCTATGTAATAAGCAATTCCAAATTAGTGGCAGAAAATGGCCATGTTATTATTTGGTGGCCTATGGGTAAATTTGGAGACTTAACTGTTCAGTGGTTTCTGGTATCTCAGCCTGGAAGACAAAGAGTTGAAAATGGAACACCTAGGGCAATTCTGATATAGCGTAGATGTGTATGGACTCTGGGCCTTGTGTGTGTTGTCTTTCAAGATCACAGATGAAAGCAGGGTCAAGTTTGAATCTCCTATCATTGAGCCTGTCAGCTCCCACACATACAGCCTCCCTTTGCCTTCCTCTTCCTGTCTTAACCTTTAAATTTTTAAGGTAAAGGCTGACACAACTGAGGCCCTTCCTACCCAGAGAGAGCTTTCCATAACCTGGCTGGTTTCCCTTCGAAAGCTGAAGGAGTCAGATTCCCCTCTCATTGAGTTTGAGCGATGCTTAGAAAACAACAGAAGGTAGTCTCTACCCTACTTTCCAAGGCAGAAGACACTGTGTTGCCAGGCTGGTGCTTCTTCCAGTTAGGTTGGAATTCTGGATCTCTAGATGGCCCCTCTGAAATCCAGTCTTAGAGCCATAAAAAAAAAAAAAAAAAAAAAGACCTCTGGTGACTAATGGCTAGTAGGTGGCTTCAACAAAGACCCTGAACTCCAATCAAATGGAGTCCAACTGACCTGGGGGTTTCCCCAACTTCAGGCCTAGGATGGTAATGAAATAACAGACATGCAGAGTTTTGAAAAGGAGCTAAAGATTCCCAGTTGAGCCCAAATTCTCAGTCATTAGGCTAACTTGGCAAGGAAGAGAGAGTTCTGAGGCAAAAGTCAGGAGTTCTGTGAAGGTCTTACTTTGTTTCCTATTGCTGTGATAAAACAATACCAAAGGCAACTTGGAGAAGAAACCTCCAGCCTGATCATAGTCCATCCTTGAAAGAAAGCCAAGGCTGGAAATCAAAGGGCAGGAACTGAAAAAGAGTGCTGCTTACTGGCTTGTTCCTTGTGGTTTCGTCAGCTACTTTCTTATACAACTCAAGACTTAGTCTGTAATTTTCTTTCTTTGTTGGGTTTTTATGTGGTTTGGGTATCAGGGTAACTGATCTCGTAATATGAATTGGGTGATGTTGCTTCTGTTTCTATTTTGTGGAATTATTTGAAGAATATTGGTGTTAACTCTTCTTTGAAAGTCTGTGTTAATATCTGGACCTGGGCTTTTTTTGGGGGGGGGAGCGGGTGTTGGTAGATTTTCATGACTGCTTCTATTTCACTAGGGGTTATAGGTCTGTGTAAATCACTTACCTTGATTTAGCTTTGGTAAGTGATATATATTGAGAAAATTATGCACTTTTTAGATTTTCCAATTTTGTGGAGTACAGGTTTTTAAAGTATGTTCTTATGATTCTCTGGATTTCCTTGGTGTTTGCTTTTACATCCTTTTTATTTCTAATTTTGTTGACTTGGATACTCTTACTCCTCATATTAGTTAACCTGGATAAAGGTTTGTCAGCCTTATTTTCTCTTTTGTTTCATTGATTCCTTGTATTTGTTTTGTTTCTATTTTATTGATTTCAGTCCTGAGTTTATTGCCATCTACTCCTTTTGGGTATAGTCACTTCTTTTTGTTCTAGAGTGATTGGGAGGTTGTCTTAGTGTTGTATTGCTGTAAAGAAACATCATGATCAAGGCAACTCTTAAAAAAGGGATTAATTGAGAACTTGCTTACAGTTTTAGTTTGCCCATGATCATCATGTCTGGAAGCAGAAAAACATGGTGCTCGATCAGTAGCTGATAGCTTTACATCCTGATCCAAAGGCAGCAGTCAGAGAGTGAGACATTGGGTCTGATTTGGGTTTTTGAAACTTCAAATCCCACCTAGCCACCCCCAGCAACAAACCTTCTCCAACAAGGCCACACCTATTCCAACTCCAACAAGGCCACACCTCGGAATCCTTCCCAAACAGTTCTACTAACTGGGGACCAAGCATTCTTTTTTTTTTTTTTTTTTTTTTTTTT